ATATATGTGTGGTTACCGTTACATGCCGAAAAAAATAGGGTAGGTAGGTAGGGAAAACATTTTATTTTCTTGAAATATTTTATTTATGAACCATGTCCGAAGGATTGTGCGTTGTGCCTTTTGAAGCAGGAACTGTCCAATTCATATTTTATTTTATTTATTTTTTTATATATTTTTTTTGACTAAAGAAAATTGACAATAAAATGTTTAGGGTCGCTGGGAATAAATAGGGTCGGTCGGGAAACCGTAACCACACCTATATTTTGTTTTGGCCTCATGGTCATTCATAGCAGTGCCCAGGTTCTGGAGATGGATACCAGTGTCCCTGCCGTCCCTGCATGGCTTCACTGTAATCTTAGCAATAACGTGCGCTCTAACATCTGATGGGCGGGCTGCCCGTCGTGCTGCCGACTCCACATGTTTGCTTTCTTGGAACAGTGTTGGCGCTTTTAAGTGACCATAACTAAGCAGTCCACAGGGTCAAAACTCCTTACTATACATCCATCGTACATGTTTAGCTCACCTTGACATCGTCAAGCTGAGCTATTGCCATGGGTCGTCGTCCGTCCGTCCGTCCGTCCGTCCGTCCGTCCGTCCGTCAACATTTGGCTACGGTCAACGATAACTCAGGAACCGTTTGACCCACATGTTTGAAATTGGGTATAGTTGTTACTGCTATGCTCCCACATTAAACGTCCTATTTTGGAGCACGCCAGTCGACGTACTTTCGAGCCACGGCAATTTTTTGGCAAAAATGGGAATTGCCATTAGTCAATTCAGGTTCAACGGATTTTGCTCATTTTTGGTATGTGAATGAATAAGGGCTAGGGGTTCTGATATTTAAAAAAAATTATGCAAATTTGGTAGGGTTTGGCAATTATATAGCATATTATATAGACACCCAGATAACAAACAGTCTGTGGTGTCACACTTGTCTGGTTTGTTTTAGAATATTTCATTGACAATATCTTTAATGCAAAATTCCTGCTATGAACATATTATGATTTATACTATTATTATTATATTATTATTATTATTATGATATAATGATTTATGCTAAGAAACATCAAAGCGGGTATAGCGCCATTTACCGTCACAAATTGTGATTCATTTTGGTTTATAAATTATTTATAATTTATATATAATATTATTTATTATTTTCACATAAAAAATTACACATATAATTATCAAGAGTATATAATGGGAGTTATATATACTCTTCGTTTCTATAATGTACGTCGATGGTTGCTCAATTAAAACTGACTTCTTCTCACTCACTCATTTGTGTCCTTTTTTGTGGTGAGCTACAGTGTCATTGACACTTTCATTGTAGTAGCTATTTGCTGTAATGCTGACAGCCGGCCTGCAACTGTAAGTAACGTGTCTTTTCCAGACTTCTGAAAATGTCCGATTATACCTTATTAACCACTGAAAATGTTCGTGAAAGGTTTTAGGTTTTAGCACGACTTAATCAATGGCTTATTATTGATTTTGTTGCCTTTTCAGGTCACACGCGGTATTTGTGTGGTTCCTGATATATATTGTTTTCATTTTCCATATATGTATGGCCGTAGTTTTAGGTATGCATACACGTTTTAGCGCATATGCAAATCACTCTTGTTTAAATTTCCTAACTGTTCCATTTGATATACATGTAATAAATATTTTGCTTGTGTATTTTCATATCAGAAATGTCCATTAATATTATCGATCACTAATACAGTTTTAATGTTATGGGTATATGTTCCTTAAGCCGGACTTATGCCGGCCTCGCGATTGCCTTGCAACTGATTTTCTGCAATTTTCTGCAACTGGTTGCAATTAAGTCGCAGCGACGATCGCGTCGCAGAGAAAGTTCGACCTAAGCACCCCTGTGACTGCCAGCAACGGGTCTGCGACTGCTTGCGACTGGAAAATTATCAGTCGCAACGCGATCGCAGCGAGTCGCACATGTTCTACTATTGCGACCAGTCGCAGTGACGCGCGACTGGTTTCACCAGTCGCAAGCATTGTTTTCATGGTTACTACCTGACATAAGCTGCCTTGCGATCGCTGCAACGAGATTCGAATGCATAATGAAAAATGCATAAAAGCGAACAATGCGAATGAAACAATCAGTGCATACAGTCATATACACAACATGCACATAGCAACAAGTCATGAACTCATTTAGTTGCGCGATCAATAGCCGATCGTCGCTTCGACCTAAGCGCCTGCGACCTCACAGGCAGTCGCTGTCAGTCGCGTCACAGTGGACCTAAGCACTGCAGTCGCAGTTTAAGCCGGGCTTCTGTCGGGTTGCGATTGCTTGCGACGCGACGCGATGCACTCATCGCAGCGATCGCAAGGCAGCTTATGTCGGGTAGTAACCATGAAAACAATGCTTGCGACCGGTGGAACCAGTCGCGCGTCACTGCGACTGGTCGCAATAGTAGAACATGTTCGACTCGCTGCGATCGCGTTGCGACTGACAACCTTCCAGTCGCAAGCAGTCGCAGACTCGTCGCTGGCAGTCACAGGGGTGCTTAGGTCGAACTTTCTCTGTGACGCGATCGTCGCGTCGCAAGGCCGACATATGCTTGGCTTTACAGTTTATGTGTAAAAGCACCCATATTTGTGTCAGTATTATTTTAATAACATTTAGGGTGCCGATGTAAATGTATCTAGTTTATTAGCTCACCTTGACATCGTCAAGCTGAGCTATTGCCATGGGCCGTCGTCCGTCGCACGTTCGGCCGTCTGTCCGTCCGTCCGTCAACATTTGGCTACGGTCAACGATAACTCAGGAACCATTTGACCCACATGTTTGAAATTGGGTATAGTTGTTACTGCTATGCTCCCATATCAAACGTCCTATTTTGGAGCACGCCAGTCGACGTACTTTCGAGCCACGGCAATTTTTTGGCAAAAATGAGAATTGCCATTAGTCAGTTCAGGTTCAACGGATTTTGCTCATTTTTGGTATGTGAATGAATAAGGGCTAGGGGTTTTGATATTTAAGAACAAATTATGCAAATTAGGTAGGGTTTGGCAATTATATAGCATATAATATACAGTGCTCGAAATAAGAAAAAAAAAGGGCCGTGTGCCTGCGGGACAACCCGGCATCAAATCGGCGTTGTCCGCAACAAATTTCTGGTTGTTCCAAAAAATACTCCCCAAATCTCCTATTTCCAATCACATAATAATATGATCAGAAAACACCCAAAAACAGTGGCGTAGCCAGGATTTTTTAACAAGGGGGACCAAAAACAGCGAACTCGCGCAAAATAGTGGATGACTTAATATTTTACTGGCTCCTCCGCCCTCCTCTCCACACCCTACGGCTCCTCTACCTCTCAAGCTCTGCAAATCTTTGTTTGGGCGCATGCGAAAAGGCTACATTTTTGTTCATGTTCTCTGCTCCCAAGATAATGTAATGTTCAGTGGTTGGTCTAGAATTCCAAGGAGGGAGGGGTGAAAAACAGGCATAGGGGGGTATGGAGGTCCTCCCCAGAAAATTTTAGAAACTTGCTGCGTTTGCTGGTTCCAAATCGAGTTCACCTCTCATAAATCAGAAAACCTGACATAACCAGTGTGTGGAAATAGCAGCCTGGTCCATATTTTTATATTATTCACGATTTAATTCACGATTAAGATTTCTTTGATGAGCCTACAAAACACTCGGATTTGAAGTATTGAAACTGAACATTATTGTGCCAGCTAGCCTACACCATTGGTTGGATTGATTGTCAGTTCAGATTGCAAATATTTGAAAGCAAAAGGTTATACACCATAGATTAATTGCGGTACCCACGCCGTCTATAACATAGCCGAGTCGGTTTAGAGTTAGTGTTAGGTTAGGATAAGTGTTTTTGGTTGTCCACCCGGACAATGTCTCAGACTGGTTAGGTTGTCCGGCGCAAATTCTGCGTTGTCTCGGACAACCGGACAACGCTTATTTCGAGCACTGATATAGACGCAGATGACAAACAGTCTGTGGTGTCACACTCATCTGGTTCGTTTTACAAGATTTCATTGACAATATCTTTAATGCAAAATTCCTGCTATGAACATATTATGATTTATACTATTATTATTATATTATTATTATTATTATGAATATAATTATTTTATGCTATGAACATCAAAGCGGGCTATAAGCGCCATCTACCGTCACAAATTGTGATTCATTTTGGTTTATAAATTATTTATAATTTATATATAATATTATTTATTATTTTCACATAAAAAATTACACAACAATTGATAACTCTTGATAATTATCAAGAGTATATAATGGGATTTCTCCCATATATACTCTTCGTTTCTATAATGTACGTACATGGTTGCTCAATTAAAACTGACTTCTTCTCACTCACTCATTTGTGTCCTTTTTTGTGGTGAGCTACAGTGTCATTGACACTTTCATTATCTATTCTTCTGATATACTATAAGCTCATCTATATGTTTACTAGAACTAAATATTGGGTTTGGAGGTAAAATAATCAGGATCTGCAGTCTCTCTATCTATACACAATATCAGAGAAGATTCAAACACCTGGGTATTGCAGATGTCACTATCAACTACAAGAACACCATATACCTTACTTTGGTTTGTATTTACAATCTGGAGTCCAAGGCTCAATAACAGCAGAATAAATTAATCGCAACGTAGAAAATGGCACAGATATCCTTGTATTGGCCTATAAGTATAATCACACGTACTATGGTGGCCGAGGGCTGCCACTACAATTTTACCTTCAGAAGCGGGCTAAAGTCGTGCGCAGTATAAAACGACTTATCCCGTGCTAAAGTTATCCCGCTTCAGAAGCGGGCTAAAGTCGTGCGCAGTATAAAACGACTTATCCCGTGCTAAAGTTATCCCGCTTCAGAAGCGGTCTAAAGTCGTGCGCAGTATAAAAGGGGTATAGTAAAGTGAAATCAGTTTACGCGTTGGCCGAGGGCTATAGCTGCCACTAAAGTGAAATCAGTTTACGCGTTGGCCGAGGGCTGCCACTACCATGATTCATTGGGATCCAGGCTATCCCACAATGCTTGCTATTAGTAATACCTAGGGTCCCTATATACAAATTTGTATATAGGGACCCTAGTATAATACCGGTCGTGTATCCGTGTACATGAGCGTGTATATGTGTGTACCCTCGTGCACACGCGTGTACGTGCGTGTACGTGCGTGTACCCGCGTGTACACGCGTGTACGTGCGTGTATCTGCGTGTGCCCGCGTGCACGTGCGTGTAACCGCGTGTACACAGATACACGACCGGTATTACTCTGCTAATAGCAAGCATTGTGGGATAGCATGGATCGCAATGAATCATGGTAGTAGCAGCCCTCGGCCAACGCGTAAACTGATTTCACTTTAAGGCCGCCGCACACCAGCCGATTTTTACAAACGATGAAGCGATGAAGCGATGAAGCGATGTAGGTGTGCGCGTTCATTTGTAGACGATTTTATTTTTATCGAGTGATCGTTCCAAATCAAACATGTTTGATTTTGAACCGATGAGCCGATGAGCCGATGAGCCGATGAGCCGATTTTAAGGCCGCCGCACACCTACATCGCTTCATCGCTTCATCGCTTCATCGTTTGTAAAATCGTCTGGTGTGCGGCGGCCTTTACTAATGAGTTTATTTCGAGGTAAAATTGTAGTGGCAGCCCTCGGCCACCATACTCGTACTTATATGACTGGAGTACATCCATGCCTTCAACAGTTACAGTAAATGTAGGTAGTGGATAAGTTGTTTGCTGGCTGTTCGGACTTTGACCGCACACTAACGTGTATCGGTAGAGGTTGTTAGCCTGTTAATATAAGCGACGCTTTACTAATTAAACGTATGTTGATTTTTCTGACGATCATGCCACACGGTGAAGCACGTTGTTATGGATATATTTTACATTTATATATGCCCAATATTACCTAGATGAAGTGAAATTCTATTTTTAGTATTTTTAGCTCATCTGACGTAGTCAGGTGCAGCTTGTAGAATCGCATGATTGTCCGTCCGTCCGGCCGTCCGTGCGTGCGTGCGTCCGTCCGTCAACAGTTGGGCACAAATCTTAACCGCTCAATGTACGGTCACGATATTCGGGACGTGGGGGGGTAATCCGAAAACGAGTTGGGATGTCGAAGATGGGGGTCAAAGGTCACAGGTCAAGAGGTGTAAAAGAAGGGGGAACATTCCCTCCTTAACTTAAGGTATAGGGAGGAAATGCAGAATTGCGGCACAAATCTAAACGGCTTGACCTAGGCTCGTGATAGTCGGTGTATAGCATCATGGTAGGAAAAGCCATCACTGTGCCGAAATTGGAGGTCACAGGGCAAAGGTCAATGGGGCACAGGGCAGATTTTAGACATTTTCTGAGGACATGGTCTGACGGAGCAATTGGAAAACTTTTTTGTTTTAGCGGTGACCTACCATTTTTATGGCTTTATTGAAAGGACCATGAAATGTACTTTCCGCTGACATGCGAAGAGTAAATGTCGGATAACCTTTTGACCCTCAAGAGGAGGGTTAAACATGGATTTGTTTACTGTTAGAAAGAATTTGACTGCTGCATGGGTTTGCTAGTAGAATCTATACATGCCTGGATGTATGAGGCTACAATGTCACAGTGAAATTTCAAAAGCTAAATTTGGTTGAAGAAGGTTTATGCTCTTTAAATCGTATAATTTCTATGGCATTCTGTACTGTCAGTGTGTTACATGTAACTTATGCCACTGCCAGTGGCCACTGCCAGTGCATGTGGTGGTGATAGTACTGTGTAGTTTTTGCCTGCGTTAATTAGTTACAGGTGGCAGCTCTCTATTTCGGCCTGTAGGCTTGCGTATGTAAATGGATGTGTGCTTACCTATTCTGTCTTGCCAATAGTTGTTACTACTACGTACGATGGGAGCTTCCATCTTTAATCTGAAGACACTTAAACGTACGCGCCATCTCGTGGCAACTTTCATAACGATCCAAACGAACATTCCTTCGAGAAGGTACCTGATACCATCCCTGTGCCTTCCACTGTTTCGGCGCGTATGTGAACACATTTGGGACTAACAGGGTTTACTAGAATCCCACCACTTCACCACAGAGTCACCGCAGTAGACGTGAGATGAGCGCTGTTGCTCCGCGGCACTTGTTTGTGATTAGCTACTATATATTATCTGTAAAATTTATTTTTAGCATACGTAACAGGTGTGCATAATTTGACTGAATACAATTTCCGCTAATCACAGCACGTCCACCTACGTCAGACAGATTAAGTTCTACTCTACTCGTACTTTCCCTGGTAAGATCTACCAGGAACCTGGCTATATGCAGTAAGTAGTGAAACGTGCTAGTAGTACGTGCCAGTAGGGACACCCTTCCTTTAAATTATTGAAAACTGTAAACACTTCTACGTAATCCGTACGTCTACGTAATCCTGTGACATAGATATCACGTTTTGATAGGCGCCCACGCGTACGCAGCGCGCGTGTATACACACGACGCGCGCATATAATATATACACCCACGCTTGCACGCATTAACTCGTGTGATTGACATATCTGAAGGTATA